GGACTTCCTCACAGCCTCTCAGGGAGGTGTTTCTAAAATCATTGGCCCAATGAGACAACTGAAGATGTCTTGTTCCGAGTTCTGATGGTTTTATGAACAGTGATGAAGTTCTGTAATCAATAAACAGATGAATTCAGTTGCTGAATGACTCCTACAACAAGTGGTTGTAGAGATGAGTAATCTGCATTTGATTTTTTGCTGTTTATTTTATTTTTCATTTATTTCATTATTTTACATTTATTCATTGTGTATTTTCTGTGTTTAGATTAGAAAAAAAAAAAAACCTTTTGCATTTATTGGTTCTTTTCTTTTCTTTTATTTTCTATGCTTGGCTTTTGCATAAAGTTTACACACATAGTAAAATGATAAAAAGGGGGGAAATGATAGAGATTTTTGGTATTATCATTTTGTTATTACTTTAGTTCATATTCAGTCTAATGTTAATCAGTATTATTGTGATTTTTAGTTTAAAGTGTTTTCTTCCTTATGTGTGTATAAACTGACCTGGAGGTTACGACTGACTGTTTCATCTTCATGTGAGACAGTTAACTCTGTGTTTCCCAGACCTTAATTCTTATCAACCAGAATACCTCCTAACTGCCTGTGAGCAGTCGTATTTTGTCTCTTGTTTATCCTCCCTCTTTGTTGACAGTTTGACCTAGAGCTGAACTGGGCTCAGATCGTAGATCAGATATCACACCTGGAACTGAGTTGCTGGTTTGTTTAGGTTAAATGTTTTACGACCTTTGTTGTTTTTTTTTTTTGGCTGTTCTGCTTTGACAATAAAACAGGGGCTCGCGTGGAAGGAGATCAGAACTCTCTGTGAACGGCCTGTCAGGCAGTGGCGGAGAGTTCTCCTTTTGCAAAAGCTTTGTCTATAAAATTCATATACGTTGTCTGTGGTCTTTTTATATAGGTTCGAGAAAAATACCTATCAATCATCATCAAAAGGTAGTGCTGGGACATCTGTCCTACCACTGCGCTTCAGGAAGTGATTCTTTGGAACAGAAGTTCAGCTTTGTAATTGTTGAGTTTTACTACCTCTGGATCTGATTTTGCTAAATTGATAACATCAGCAGATTTTACACTCTTGCCTGTAGAACTACAAGCTGTAGTTCAAACTCCTGCTTTGTTTGTTTCTCTTGTTGTGTCCTTGGCAAAGATACTTCTCTGCTGTTGATTGCAAAAGGTCCTGGTGGTGCAGGTGCATGGCACTGTCACTTCTGTCAGATTGCCCAGGGCAGCTGTGGCTACAATGTAGCTCCCCACCATCAGCATGTGAATGGGTGAATGACTGAACGTATGACTGTGGGGTCCTCTCAACTTGATAAAGTGCTAAAGACAATCTACCATTTTCAACCAGTGCTTATAGTTTCTGAAGTTCTTATATATTTGTTTCTTTACACTCTGTCTGACTTATCACTCAGTTTGTTTGTTTTCTTATGCTATTGCACCAGATATTAAACCCTTTAGAAAGAATGTTAATCATTCTTGGACCACTTTAAGGAAATGTAGGAAAGCCTGGGTGCTGGGAAGGAAAGAGCTAGTCTGGATGCAGCTGTTATCCAAGAGTCAACAGTTTGATTGCTGACCTGCTGGAGAGATGACAGAGGTTTTGCTGGGCTCCCTTTGTACAGCCGACTGGCTGGTGACGGCTTCAATAAGGTCAAAGGTGAAATCTGTGAAGTTTGTTGGCTGAGGAAGTGGCAGCTTGCTGGGGTTCTCGCTGTTGGTGAAACTCAGATCAAATGGCTGCTGGGTCTCCACCTCTCCAACTGCTTCGCTCTCTGTGGTCGTCTTGCTGAAGAACACCTCTGGACTCTCCGTCACCGTGGTAACAATCACAGCACCACTCCCCTCATCTGTGCCTGAGCCCTCATCGTCAGGGGAATCTGAAGAAAGCAGGGGGAAACAAAAAGGAACCAAACAGGAACAAATCAGGCAGGATCTCAATAAAAATCCTATTAAACACATTGGCTGAAAGTTACAAAGCATTTAGAAGCAGTCAAACAGCGTCTGCTGCACAGAACAGTAAGTTTTAATATAGTTATCTATCACCCAAATATCTGTCAGCTTCAGTAGAGGCCAACCTTTACTGGCAATAATTCCAGAGGCATGTTGTTGTTACACTACACCAGATGGATGCCAGAGTTCTGTCTGGGTCCATACCACTTCCAGGGCCTGTCTGCTTTAAAATTAGAGCAGCTGAGCTCATGCAGTTTTGAATTTGTGTCATGGTGTTGGGTTAAAAACACAATCTTCACCACTGCAAACACAGTTCTGATAACTGGTGCTTGTTTTACCCATGTTTGGTAAATCAGCCAGTTTCCACTCCAGGCAGTGACGCATGTGAAGCCAAATAGGTTATTTTAACCTTTGCTTCCTGAATCTATCTCTGTGAGAAGCAGTTGCTATGAAATATTCAGCAGCTTAAATCTAGGCTAAGATCTAACCAAATGTGCATAAACAAAAAGTGTAACTGTGAAGGGAGTTTGGGAACTAAGTCTTTGTGCATGACTTCATCAGTTTCTCACCAATGTGGAGAAATGAGCTTCTGTACAGCATTGATTTAGTTTAATGAAGTTTGCAGATATTCATTTCTGCAAAGTCTAGTTGATGGTTGATGTCTGGACATTGACTGGACTATTGCAACAACTTAAATGTACTGAAGATTTGAGGCCGTGTTTGGACTCATGCTCCTGTTGAGGCTCCAGTCTGTACCAAGTTTTGGCTGTTAGACCAATGGACTCACATGTAACTCTACAATACTTTGGCATGTAGGCTAGTTCAGCTGCTTCTTTAAGGTCTCTAAGGTTGTTGCTTCAGACCAGCAATGTCTTTAACCTACTGCTTTATAGGCATGCTATTGAACTGTATCTGATTAGCATTGTCTGGATACGGTTTTCCATCTTGTGAAAACAGGAAGAACATTCCTTTTTCCCACAAATTTCACAAATTTGGATATGTTTTGTTACAGAAATGACAATGAAAAGCCTGTGTTGTGTTTTTGTGCACATGAATGTATCCCTATGTAATAAGCATTACTATCTGCTGACCTCTTTGTATAAGAATTATTATTCCAAAGTAACAATGATTTCAATAGATCCATCTTGTGACAGTCTTGGTATACCTGTGTAACAGAAGGCATCGTAGCGGGAGTCAGGAAGTGGGTATCCTGTTTGGTTTGTGTGGAGATAAACTGTTCGCACCCCCAGCAGACCCCCTCCACATTGTGGCCGTCGAACATTGATGGGGTAGCGGACACTCCCATCTCTCAGCCAGCCGGCGTTGCAGACGTCCATACCGCCCTGCCATGCAAGGTACAGCTGACCTGTGGTGGCTAGCTGAGCTCCCTGGTAGGAGCACGTCAGCACAGCCTCAGAGAAGGTGAACTTCCCTGCAGAGGTGCTGTGGAAAACCCTGCCTGTTCCAGAAAAGGAAGTTTTGTTTGGGAAGCTGTTGGGAAAAAAATCCAATAAACTACATGGACCATGACTATGTACCTGGCATCCTATCTGCAAAGCAGTAAACATCATATGTCTCATTGAGATCTCTCACGCCATACGTCCTGACCCCAGGGAGTTCCTCTTTGTCGCCATAGCAGTTCATGCGAGACTCGTGGATTGGGTACCTGTAGTTTGACAAAAAAAATGACTTCATACTTGTTGCTTAACATTTCAAAAGTTTTATCTTCAAATATCATTCCTCTCTTTCAAGAAAAGGTTTATATGTTACTTGCTGTAGATTTTGATAATCAGATAGGCCCAAATTAGTTCACCTTTTCGCAGAGGACTCAATCCCGTGTCTATTGAATCTGACAAATGTGATAAAATACTAACAAAATGTGTCAGAACATCCCAGATTTGGATAAAACAGCAACGGTTGCTAGTTGCTTGACTAACTCACCGCACTGTTTGATCAGACAACCAGCCAGCGTCGCACTGGTGGAAACCATCTTCGAATGCTGCTTGAAGCTGCTCTGGAGAAGCAATGACTGCACTGTTCTGGGCACAAGCTGCCTTCGCTTTCTCAAAGGTCAAAGTGTAGCGACCCATAAAGGGCCGGTAGTGGAACACGATACCTAAAACAGCCAAGGCAGGGTAAATATATATTGTATAGGATCATTCATACAAAGAAACTCTAAATGCATTAGCAGTAAAAACAATGTAAGCTTTTTGTTCTAACTTGAAGGAGTCATCAGTTTCTGCTTATCTCAGGTGTTGTCGGAGAGAAGAGCTGAGGAATATAGAAACTAAAAGTGGCCTCCCTTTGTTTAGTTCTGGGTCTGGGAACATTGAGTAAACTGTTCTCCTAGAAGCATGTCTGATAAATAAATTTAAAAAAAAACAACTCAGGTGTACTTAATCCAAGACCAACACAAACAGGAGGCCAGTGGAGGGTTTTATGGTTGCTATATACTTATTCTTTAAGGGGAATTATGACTGACTTGATTAAATTTGAGTACCTCGAACAAGGACGTGCACAATGTCATAGGCATCCTCAATGCCATTCTGAACTTCACAGCGATACACTCCTGTGTCACTGGAATGTAGCTCCGATATTTTGATGCTGGCGTCTGTTGGAGTCTGGGGGTAGCTCTGCAGCTGAACTCTGTCCAGATAACTTTCACTGATGCGGACCTGTCCCTCCAAAGCCACAAGGATGGTAGTCGTCTTTTCCTTTGTGACGTAGCTCCATTTGATACGGTGGGAAAGGGGGACGACGGGGGGAGAACCAGGATCTTCAACAGAGTGGTCCTACAAATGGACAAATAGGGGTTTACTTGACATGAAACAAGATAATCCAAGATTGGGGTAGAGTGTAGCCCAACATGGCCATTATAGGTTGAAGTTCTGGCCCAATGACCTCTTGGGCTACTTTCCTGGCTGACCACTGTCCAAGAGCCAGTACAACTTTTAAAAAAGAAATACAATCAAACTCTGTACTAATTCTTCATCCAGTGTCTTCTTCTTATCTATGATCAAGTCAAAGCGGCACATTCTCCAAGAAACTGAGTCATCCAATTTCTTCAGTGATAGTCATTCTGAGGACCCCAGTCATCAGTGACCTTTAAACTCTATTGGTCCTCCAGAATGACCAGACAGGATGCACAGTTCCTCTGGCAAGTTCTAGTTCTGAACTATAAACAACCATCCTCCAGTGCAAAGAGAGAAGAGCCGAGCCAAACAAGATGGCTGCAGATTTTAATTCAACATTTGAAAGCACGGCTAACACGCTCTGAACAGCTTCGTTCACTTCCTCCGCTGCCATTGCTCAAATACAGGTGTGATTCTAAAGCAGCGCAGAACATCGACGTCATATTTCAAAACTCAGATGTGAAATCGCGTATCAAGGCAATAGCCACGCTAACATGCACTGAAGCAGATTAAAATCCAGAAACGAAAAAGATTGAAATGTGACCTGAAAGTAGCATGGCAGTAGCAGAGTTTCTCCCAGCAGAGGGCGCTGTAAGCCCTGCAGAGGAATGCTCACAGTCAGAATATCCTCTGGATCTGTCCCAGAAGCACAAAAAAGACAGAAAATTCACGTGAAATGTCTTAAATGTGAAAATAAATATGAAAATAAAAACACAGAAACACTTACCCATGAAGGATCTCTGCTCATAAAGATAGTCAAATGTTGCAGAGGAGATACTTAAACATAAAGACAGGAGCACGGCCCACTTTAACATATTTTACCTTAAAATGGTGGAAAGAAAAAAATATCTTATTACGTATTACAATAATTAATGTCACTAACAAAAAATAAATATTTTTCTAAATCAGTTTCTTTGAATAAAAAAACTTATGAAACTTTAACAGAAACTGCAGGTGAGTGTTTGTGTCTGGTGACTTTTTGGTTTAAACATGTTTGTTTTTCTTTCAGTGGGCAGAGACTCCAGAAATTTTACTCAAATAAGAAATACTTCATAATAAAAGTACTCAAACTTAAAAAGTGCAGTGCAGTAAAAATACTCCTAAAAGTAAAAGTTTTTCAAAAAGTTACTCCAGTAATTGTTACTACTACCCAACTCTGGATTTCACTTAGTTTTCTTCTGTGAGATCAACATTTTCCGCCCTTTACATGACTTCAGCTGTCCAGATGATTTAAATGTAACTTTTTTTGTATCGGCAGTGACGTCGGGGTGAAAACGCCTCCTTTGGACCGGATGTGGCGCCTGGACTCGGTGACAGTTCGTTAGAACCGACTCCACACTGCGCTCATTCAAACCGCCGACGTGAAGAAAGCTTCAGCCGTAGTGACGTCACAGACCTCTGCAAACAGCAGCGTGAATTTTCCACATTCCCCCCGGAACGTTTCCGTCACGTCCCAACACCGCCCACATTCAGGCGGCAGGACAGGGAAAGCGTGACACACACAGGACTTTGATCCTCTTTAAGTGACACCTTTTCCCTCTGGAGAGCAGGTTTGGGATGAGGCGTTTCATTTATGTCACATTTATGCTCCAGCGCTTTCCAGCGCACAAACGTAAACAGTGTTAAATCTGTTTAAATGCTGGAACCATAGACAAAAAAATAAAAAATACTAAAAATGACTAAAACCTGCCACTTTTTCTACTATTCACCATTTTGTGACTCACTTTTATGAGTCAAACATAAAATATATATATATATGTGTGAGAATACAAAAAATAAATGTTCTAAAATTAAAATTGTAAATAAATTGTATGGGTTGTTATGGTCAATGCTAATAGAAAAAAAACGAGAATTTTTTCAGAAATTTTGAGACTAAGCTCAGAAATTTTCTAAAAAAGGTGGAAATTTCTGATTTTGAAAAAATCTAAAAATTTTGACTTTTGAAACTCAGAATATTTCCAAAAGCTAAAGTAAAAATTTCCAAATATTGTTTATTAAACGTTTTAGTTTAACCTAAAAATTTCTAAGCTTTTTGGAAGAAATTAGTTTTTTAAATCTGTTTAATGACCCCATTATATAATTTACAATTTTATTTTTAAAAGGTTTATTTCTGCAACCTTTACAATAAACATTTCTCTCTCTTTTTATTTCTCATACAGATAAACTAATAACTTGTTCTTTTATATGTAAGATTTGTGAAGAATTTATAATAGTGTATTAAGTCCATTGATAAAAAAAAATTACAAACTTTTTTTTTTTTTTTTTGCCAAAACATTTTACATTTTGGCAAAATTTTTAGACTAATCTCAAACATTCTCTGGAAAAATCAAGGACATTTTGAGTTTCAAAAGTAAAAAAATGCTAGAAAAAAACTAGAAAAAAACTAGGAAATGTTTTCATTCATCTCAGAAATCTTCTAGAAAAAACAAGTAAATTTACTACTTTGAAAAGTTGAAGATTTTTGACTTTTTAAACTCAGAAAATTTCCAAAAGTGAAAATAGAAGTTTCCAAGTTTTTTTTGTAGAACATTTCTATAGATTAATATAAAAAATTTCTGAGTTTTTGGCAGAAATTTATTCTTCTTTTTAATGATTTTTAAGCCTCTGTCATACAAATCTGCTCGTTATTTACTATTTTAATTTTAAAAAATTTCTGCAACATTTACTTCTTTTTATTCTCACACATAAAAATAAATGATCTTTTTTCTTTTCCATGTTAAAGATGAGGAAGTGGAGAGTTGAAGTCATTTTTATAGTTCCAGTCCCACAGGAAGTGACACTGGGACAGTTTTCCTTCAAGACTTTATTGGTTTAAAATGATCTAATCACAAAGTTTCCAAGCTTTTAATATGATCTCTAGGGGCTTTTTCTGCTCTTCTGGCAGATCACAATAAAACAACTGAAATTTATTTATTTATTTATTTATTTATTTATTTATTTATTTATTTATTTATTTATTTATTTATTTATTTATCATTTATTTATGGGGATTTGGGGATGTTTTTATTTTTTTCTTTTACATTACTGCCTCTATTGCAGCTCCTGACTTAAAACAGAAGGAAATAGAATCAATGCCATACAAAATGAGACCAAGATAATTGATTTTTATACTTCTTTCCTGCCATCATGTAACATTTATCGTGTGCAAATTGAGGTGCATTTTGGTAAACTTGTTTTATTTTATTCATTCTGACTTTTTTATGTTTTAGCTAAACCACACAGATATATTTTGCTTTGGAGTTGGAAAAAGATTTAGAGTTATTCATTTTGGTCTAATTTTGCTCTAATGATCATGTTTTTATGTCTAGTTTGTCTGCAGTAACAAAAGAAAGAGGATCAGGCATCAAATCCTTCCTGGTTCTGAAATGATCTGGGTCTGAATGCTGCAGCATCCACCAGGTCTGCAGCTTTTAGCGCTTTGAGGATCACATGTTGGGTTAAAAGTCTTATTTTCTGCCAAACTGAATGGATTTTCTGTATTTTGACAATAAAGTTTGAAATGTCTTGAATTTGTGAAACCTGGCAGAAAGCTCAATACATGAAATATGTATTTTATCTTAATTAGTCAGACATATTTTGGTCTAACAGTGATTTGTGCCTAAATGATTTTTATGTCAAAAGTTAGACACTGAAAAAGTTGGAACTGAACAGAAAATGGGTGGAAAAAAACCCTACAAAAATTCACAGAAAGACTTTTGACCAGAAGCACAAAATGTTAAAAAATAATGATAATTATATTAAAGTGGATTATAACCAAACTAGTTTTTTATTTGCAAATATGATGTTATTACTGTTACCTTTTTCATGTCTGCGCAGCAGTTTGGTGCAACTCTTGCTTCAAGTCTGCATATTTCATCCCAGTGAAAAAAGTTTTTTCTTACCTGTTGAGAGATTTCCTGAAGTGGAATGTTTTGATGTTTTGTCTCTGCTGTGTTTTTGCTCGGCCGGTCCGTTGGTTGTTGGTTCTGAGTTTAAACAAGAGAACCGACGGCAGCAGCATCAGCTCTGGATGCTTGGCTGAACACAGAGGAAAAAGTCCTGGACCGGGTCCGGCTCCCAAACCTCAGAGAGGAGAAACCACAAAGCTGCTCAAGCTGAGGCGCTGAAATCAACTTTCACAATAAAAGCTCAGAGCCACTGAAATGTTTGTAATAACAATGACAAATAATGAAAAATATTATTATAATATAAAAACACAAAATAATTAAATTCACACAAGCATGAAATATAAATAATAACAGAAAAAAAGAATATTAATGAAACACACAATTACTCAATGAATGTCATACAAAAAAACAAACCGTAAAATGACTTCATTAAAGTCATTTCATTAAATAATAAGACTAATAATAATACAGATGAATAATAAATCACAAATAAAATATAATGATAAAAGTAAACAATAAAAATGGTTGTTTTTATGTGTGATAATAATAATAATAATAATAATAATAATAATAATAATAATAATAATAATAATAATAAATCAAGTAAAACCAAAATTAATTTTGAAATTTTGAACTGAATCAACCATATCAGCACCTTTAGGGTTTTTATCTTCATGGTTCCTCTGTGAAACTCCATTGTTTGATTTTTGTTAATCTATTATTTTTTTTTGTTATCTGTTATGTTATCTAGCATCTTATTATCTTTGCTGGCTGCATTTGGGTCATTTCATGACCGTTCACAACACAGAGAAAACAGATTATCTTTGGAAGTGTCTGAAAACCATGTTGTTTTATTTTGAAAGGGTTGGAGGATATTTGCCTTATTTTTAGTTTTTTGTGTGCAGAAAAGTGGTAACGGGTTTCAGTGATGAGGTTTTGATGGGGAGTTAGTCTGTGTTACATAATCATCTCTTTTCATTTCCAGCAGTTTCTCCTAATTTATAGCTGCTGTTTATTGACTCTAAACAGCAAAGTGACCGAATCAGATTCTGCAGAAATTATAGACAATGATTTGGCCAAAACTCAACCTTTTCAAATATTTAACTATCATTTTTTCTCTTTTTTAACTTACTTTATTTCTTCAAATAGAGAAAAAAGTTCTCAAAAGAGGACACAAAGCTGCTCTTTCAGTCCAGTAGCATTGAGCAGTGGCAGGACAGGAAATGGTGATTACAGCGAGTTCATGGGCCTTAAAACTGCGTCGCCGCGGCAACAAATGAACCCTAATTACGCAAAGACTGGAGTTTGTTCAGTCTAAGTGGCATTAAGCGGAGCCAGAACTTATTTTATCAGCAGGAGCTCATACTGGACTTCTGTTGTTTCCATAAAACGCTGCTTCAACCTTCATAACGTGAGAGGATGCTGGGACTCACGTATGGAGCTACATTGGGGCCACAAAGTTTGTTTAACCTGTCATTCACAGGTTGTCATTCACAATGACAGGGGTGTCAAACTCCAGTCCTCCAGGGCCGCTGTCCTGCAGTGTCTGGATGTGCCACAGGTAAAAAACAGTGGAATGAAATGGCTTAATTACCTCCTCCCTGTGTAGATCGGTTCTCCTGAGCCTTGCTAATGACCTAATTATTCTTTTCAGGTGTGGTGCAGCAGAGGCACATCTAAAAGTTGCAGGACAGCGGCCCTTGAGGACTGGAGTTTGACACCCCTGTCACGAGAGGGCCCAAATTTGGGTCCTCTCGTGGATGAAAGGTTAATCAGTATTTTTCTCTTCCATAGTGTCACCAGATGTGCTGTGTGACCCGGTGAAGGTGCAGC